AGAATGTAATACGAACTCTAAAAAGTCGGAAGTCATGCGGACCACAAGGTATACCAAATGAATTATTAAAACACAGCCCACAAGTATTACGGGAATTACTGGCGTATGTCTTCACCCTATCTATAATGGGCAAGACCTCCGGAGTAGACAAAAGCACATATTACCAACATCTACCAAAAAGGAGAGAAAAAGAATTGTTCAAACTGCAGGGCACTATGTGTCATAAATTCACTCTCAAGACTCTATGGAAAACTAATAAAAAATAAAATTGAAAAAGAGATGAGAGATGTCGAAGAATAGAATGGCTTTCGTGCAGGCAGATTCTGTATGGACAGTATATTCTCTCTAAAGCAAGTTAGCGTGAAAAGATTAGTCCACAACCTTTCAACTCATATAGTCTCTATAGATCTGGTAAAAGCATACGTTAGTGTACCACTTTCAATGCTTTGGGTAGCAATGGAAAACAAGGAATAAGCAGAAAAAAAAATATACAAGCAGTACAACAGCTCTACAAAAATATGACGGCAAACATTTAACCTGGAAATAGATTAACTAGAGAAATTACTATTAGTAAGGGCCTAAAGCAAGGCGGCTGCATAGCACTTACCTCTTTAAAATATATCTAAATGAGGCACTCTCACTTTGCAGAAGAAACTGCTGCAATATGGGCATCCCAATCGGAGATAATAGATTGTACACGATACACTTCACTGACGACCAAGCCATTCAAGCTGAAGACGAGAGTGATGTAGGCTACATGCTTAGAAAACTGGAAGATGAGTACACCAAATGGGACCTCACAATTAATATATAAAAAACTGAGTACTTAGTTGTGGGAGAAAAACCAGAAAGCCTACAAATCGAAATGGGAACTATAAAACCAACAGACAATTTTAAGTACTTGGAAGTCCAAAGAACATCAAAAGCAGAAATTAGCTAAGAAATACAATCCAGGATTGGCCAAGCAAGATCAGCCCCCAGATAGATACACGGATTATTACGGAATAAAAAAATAAAAGAAAATAAAAAAAGGAATTTATAAAACAATAATAGAAAGTATTGGGCTGTACGTCGCCGAACTCTGGGAAATAAACCAAAGAAACCAATCAAAACTTAAGGCCATGGAAATGAACGACTGGAGACGATGTTGCCAGCTTACTAGACTTGATAGGGTGAGAAACAAAGATATTCGGAGGGAAATGGAAATCAATCTAGACATAATAGACACAATCGAAGCCAAAAGACTTTATTGGTATGGACACCTTCAGAGAATGCCTGATAAAAGATGGAAAAAAAATAGAAGAATGGTCTCCGCCAACTAGAAGAAAACGAGGTAAACCAAGACGATCCTGGAGAGACGACGTCGACGATGCAATGACCGCCAGAGATCTAACAACTGAAGATTGCTTCGACAGAAAACGCTGGAAAATTATAATGCGAGAATCGGCGCCAGCTGTAGAAGACTCGCTTGTTGTATGTATGAAATTGCAACGCATTTAATTTCTAACAAACTAAACTTTCATAATACAATGACAGAAGACGAAATATTAAATATTGCCAACATCCTTAAAATAAATTATAAATAATATGGTATTGGAAGATAGCAAGAAAACTAGGAATTGGAATACTTCGCTTAGCAGACCAACATTGTGAGCTTAATCGAACAGAGTTAATATAGGCTCCAGTCAGGTATCGTTGCTTGATATATTACAACTTTTAAATTATGAGATCTGACTTATATTTTTCATGACACCTGTTACCTTAACTCTATCCAGTTGCTTGCACCCGTACCATAAAGAATACTTTTATATTTAACCCGTACCAAAACAATGTTGTTTGTGGAGGTTTTTAATGTCTTGTCTTTTCGAATATCTTTTTAAACTTTCGAGGTTTTTTAAATTTTAAAGAAAAAATTTTGTATTTTTTGATTACGGCGTCTCTATATTTTACATACTATTAAAAAAATACTTTTCTTTTCAATTCATTCATTTAAATTATTTAAAGTCTATCGTTATACCATAAAAATAACTATAATACTAGATATAAATTTTAAAAACTTAACTGCCTTAATGACCTAGCGGAAAAACTTTTTTAATAATAACTATTGAACAAATACCTACATTAAGCTGATATCTTAGGTTTGAAATTAGGAGCTTAATTTAGTTATTAAGAATAACGATTAAGCAAATATAAACTGTAATTAACATTCAAATTTTCCGAACAGGCGATTAGGTGCTGCAACGTTATCAGTTTTTAGAAGTTTATTAATACAATATACTTAATAGGCATATTTGCCTTTTAAAAATGGTTTTAATTTAATCCCTCAAATGTACTATTACAAATTCTTCAGGATAAAATCTACATCGTTGTGCTAAAAACTTCCATAACGATTGCATTCCCTAATCTCCCTGCAAAGTCAGGCTGAGACAGATTGTAGGCCCCAAAAGTAGAATAGAGATAATCAAATACAGGATCTGTAAGGAAGAATTAGCCAAAGATGCGCCGTATATGAAAGTTTGGGAGATGTCTTTTTAAGCAACAGAAACGATATACGATAAACCTAAAAATAAAAGTGCACGTAACAATGTGTACAGGATAATAAATATGTAATAAATATGTACAGGATAATAGTCTATAAAAATAATAAATTAGAGGCCCTGAGCAGAAGTGGACCACCAACACGTTGAAGTGACGATATAAGAACACTAGATTGGAACACCTTAAGATAGAGTAGAGCAGTTTAATGCAGACTTGGGATCAAAAGTTGAGTTAACATCATAGTAGGAGATATTTCTGGTAATAATTAATGTATTACATACAAATTTAAAGCGTTTTATCTCTTATAAAAAAACAAATAAATCGACTGTGTTCAGGTAGATAAGTGACCTGGCTTAGATTAAATATTGGACAGAATTAGACGTTTAAAATTTAATAGCATTAGTAAAAACCTAACCTGTTGCAGATATTAAGTTGGACCATAACCTATGTCGATATGCCTATATACCGGTATAATTCTATAAGATATGATTTTGAACAACTAAAAGATGAAAGATTGAACAACTAAAACAACCAAACAAGAAATACAAGAATATCTGAAGAACAAAATATCTCGGTTATAATATGTCATAATAAATAAATAATGTTAAAACAGATATAAACCACTTGGAAAACATTTGGAAAGAATTACTAAACTTATACCTATGAATGAAAATAATAGAAAAAACGCAACCATGGCTGGTCGACAGTATATTAGAGGTAATGAACAAGAGAAACCAAGGAAAAAGATTACGCTACATATCAGCATCTAGAAAGACAGATAAAAAAAGCTTTCAAAAAAGCTAAAAAGATAACTATACAATCGGTAGAATACTGGTTTAGTAACAACTTTGATGTGATGAAGAAAAACTTTCGTATGAACTGCCCCTGATCTTATATAGGCCAAACAAATCGTAAAAACCCAAAATAGGATTTCTGTTCATTATGTTTACATTTCTATTCCGTTCACGATTCCGATTCAATTTCAACTTTAGTTCAACAACATCTTTATACAGGTCACAAAATCGATTTTAAAAACTTCAGAACCATAGACCCCATCCACAACTATAAACCAAGAATTATCCGAGAAGCCATAGAAATAGAGAAAAGGCCAAACTGTCTTAATAAAAGAAATGACGCCATATGGTTACCTTCTACATGGAGACCTCTTATCCTCCATGATTTGTAACAAACTATGTTACAAATCACCAACTTTTTCTATTTGGATACAAATTTAAATAAACAATGAACAACTCAACAAAAATAAAGATATGGATCGAACAGTTTTAACGGTCACGTTATAAAATTTTAAATAAAAGTTCGTTTACTAAAATGATACCTATTCTTCGATATTCGATATAAAATGGAGCCATGGACTTTACCTGAAGCATTAGTGAAGAGACTTGAAAGATGGACGCATGTTGAGGATTTCCTAGATAAACAACGTTACCAAGGAAGAAGTTTTATACAAAATGGGCAAAGAGGGCGGCCTAATCATAATCATAAAACTTCGCAAACTGGAATATCTTGACCATATAATACGGAATGAATAACGACACGACCTACTTTGGATCATACTTTAAGCTAAGATAAATGGAAAAGATATCCAGGAAGAAGAAGAATTTCGTGGCTTCATAACCTACGAAATGATTCACCTCGACAATACCGAACTTTTTAGGGCAGCAATAAAAAAATTCAAGATAGCCATGTTGGTGTCTATCATTCGTAACAGATAAGCACCATAAGAAAAAGAAGTCGTTTAAATGCGAATAAGAAAAACGTACATTGGAGAACCATTTATAGAACTTATCTTCAATATCTACTCATTAGGCAGCACCTAAACACAAAAAAATGGGACGGGAAAAATGTCAAAACTACGCAACAATCCGTTTAATGGGATATACAATTATTTATAAAGTACTAGTTTGTATTCAGCGTCCACCAGGTACTGCTGGCCAAACAGTAATGGCTATAGACGTAGGTATACTATTTAGCATAGTTTTGAATTGTGAAATGTCTACATTTTATGTCACTAAGCTATAGGTTTACAAACTGGTACGTTAGCTTTAACGGTACATTGACCTAAAGGTAATTATGAGGATAACGTATTTTAGTGGACGTTTATCCAATTTCATTAAAATATATTTACTCTCAATTTTTAATTGTTTGATTAATACCTTTATAGAAATTTGTCTAATATTCTAGATATGGAACTTTTGCAATGTTAATTGTCAAGCTGGATATTTCGCAGCAAACGTTTTTGCAATAAACAACGTTTTAAAATAAAAAATATAGGTATTAACATGCAACTTCAAGTAATTAGAAATTATTGTGTGACTGGTCCGGAAGATGAGGACTACAAGTAATAGTGAGGTAGTAAATATTGCAATATAGAAAACAAGTAACCGTTATTTACCTTAGTTAAAGTCGCTTAATTTATATTATGAATTTATTGTTAAACTAACCTATAAAACTAAACCATAAACACAATAAACTACCATTCACTTCCATACTAACAAGAGCACATTACAACAACGAATAGCAGCGTCTATCGCAATTTAGGATTCCGCTTTGATTACTGGTAATTCCCGAGGCTAAAGATTATAGTCAGTTTCATTTCTTTTAATTTTTCAACATCACAACCGGTTTTTAATGATTTGGCATCAAGATTAATATTTTATCACAACATACCTGATGGGATTTGAACTTAAACTCTGAATATATTATTTATTGTTTATTTGGTATTTTCGCAATTCAATAAAATTTACATTCACAGTTTCTTGGTATCTGTAAGGTTTTATCCAAATTGGGTTTACCGAAACTAAAAATTAAGGTAATAGATGCAGTTCTAACTTAGACAAGTATTCGACAAGGTTAAAAATTATTAATAATATAAGTATAAATATTATACATAAATATAAATAATATATATATATATATTTATATATAAATATAAATACCTAATAATATAATAAGTAATATGTATATATATACATATATATATATATATATATATATATATATATATATATATATATATATATATATATATATATATATATATATAGCACCCTCAGTGCAAGACTGCACAAAGTCAGAATAAGTAAGTTTCGAGTTAAAGACGATTTTTTTATTTTCGTGCTAACATCGGTCAAATAAGACACAAGTTTAAAAAAATATATATCATTTATTTATGATTTTGCATGCTTTTTAGCCTATATTACATTAACCAAAAACAAAAATTTAAATAAACTAATATTAATGCTAAAAAAAATAGGAATTTCAATGTTACAACATTTTTGCACGGAGAAAATTGTTAATCACTACACATTTAGTATTAGAATTTTACAGTTACAACACTTTTGCACGGAAAAAATTGTAAAAAGTGTGGACAAATTTTCTGTTACTTGTTGTCCTGTTCTCGTTTATCATCTTGGGCCAAAATATTTTTGTAAAATCTATTGTGGGCTTCTGGTATCATACCCGAATGGCAACAAATCATCGGGTAAGTAAAGAAAAAATAATCCCCAACAGCATTCGGGGTTTAGTATGGTATTAAACTTTACATTTAATAGATTCCAAACAATCAGATAGCTACCTAGAATAAATAGGTACCTAATAATGACAATGTCATAACAGGGTAGACAATTATTTGTAAAACTTTTAATATTTTTATTTAAATTGAAAACAAAAGGACTAATAAAAATATGCCAATCGGGCTAACTTGAGTACAGTGATTAACAAAAGGTTAGAAATTCAGTACTTACTTACTTACTCCGTGGCGTTACAACCCTTCGTGGATTTTAGCCGATTCGACAACATGCCTCCACTGTTTTCTGTCTTGAGCAACCTCCATCCAATTCTCCACGCCCATAGTGCTTAGGTCTCTTGCTATATTATCTCGCCACCGGAGACGAGGGCGTCCGCGTGGTCTCCTTCAGTTGGGACTTCCTCCCACACCAAACTTACTGTTCGTTCGTCAGAATGTCTTCTGAGGTGTCCTGCCCATTGGAGTCTTCTGGACTTTATTTCTTTTATGATGTTGGCATCTGGGTAAAGTTTTTCAAGCTCTTTATTAGTTCTTATCCTATATTGTCCTGATGCTTCATCAAGCACCGGACCAAAGATCTTCCTTCGGATTTTTCTTTCCCAAACACGTAGTCTCTCTTCATTTGCTTTTGTTATCGTCCACGTTTCGCTTCCATACATCACAACGGGTCGTATGATTGTTTTATAGACCTGTATCTTCGTACGTCGTGTTAGTTGTTTTGATTTTAAAAGGTTTTGGAGGGCAAAAATACATCTGTTGTCGGCCGGATGGTAATGTTCTGACCGATTCTGTCTCTGCTTTGGTTATTGCGGCTCATATACATATATTTCGTCTTGTTTTCGTTGATTTGGAGCCCCATCTTCTCTGCTTCCTTCTCAAACCTTACAAAAGTCTCCTTCATCCTTAATCGCGTGTTTCCTATTAGATCTATATCGTCTGCAAATGCCAGTAGTAAGTTTGGTCCTTCTCGATGAAATTCTGTATTCGGTTTTTCGATTCTTGCACTTCTGATTATGTGCTCCAGAGCTAAGTTGAAGAGTTGTGGTGAAAGTGCATCCCCCTGTTTTAGTCCATTGTTTATTTCAAATGTCTCCGAGTATTGTTGTCCAACTCTCTAGTAGAAATTCACTACCTTAGTAAAAGTTGCGGGGGGACAATATGATAAGACAATCTCCTCGGAAGGTTACATGAAGATTTAATACAATTTGTGATTTAGTTTTTATAGAATAAAAAAAATTATTTCAAATCCTTTATAAAGTGGATTTTTATAGAATAAGTTTTCTGAGAATAGATATTTTTAACGTGTCAGTATTGTTAATATACAAGTTTTAAGATAACTGTTTTTCCTTTTATAAACAAATACTTTTTGGTGCTAAATAATTAGTCTTAATTCATGTGTTTTTAATCCAATCTAATAAATAAATGGTCAAATGACATCGCACATATTTAATGGAAAATATAATGTCACACAAAGGACATAAAACTTACATGAATAAATTGGTAAATCGTAAATCTTTGTTTAATATTTCGGCCGTTAATTGATTACGTAGACACGCTGTATATTAAAATTAAACACCACAGATATATATATATATTAAAATAACAAATATCTTACTTTTTTCGCGCCTTTCATTGCTTGTTATCGAAACCATTGCAATGTTCCTTGCAAAACTGTTGTAACTCTGTTACATTAGAGCTACAACAGTTTTGCACGGAACTTATGTACAAAAACGTAAAATAGTTAAACTGTTGTTGTTGTAATATTTAGCCGGTTAAGCATTTGAAAATTACTAAAGTTTTACAGGGAATAGATATGCATGTTTACCGTCGAATTCCATGATTACTTCATTTCCATAAAATTTTGAGGTACTGCAGTCTTGCACTGAGGGTGCGAATTTTTGTTAACTCACCAAATAAAATTAGTTTCGTAAATAAAAATGCTGCTAACATATTTAAAAAAATATTAATATAAAAATGTTCTAATCTAATAAATGCTTCTCTGAAATTTTAATATAATTTTGAAAAAGTGTCTTAACACATATGAAAAAGTATCTTAATCCCTGCTGAGCTACTTAAACTTTTGGATGAGAAAAGCACTGCCTGCTTAACCACTTTTTTTAACAAAATTACCAGATGATTGGTTAGAGTCACTGTTTATATAATTACCAAAGAAAAGCAGGCCCACCAAATGCAGCAATTTTAGACTAATCAGTTTGATGAGTCACACACTGAAGATACTCTTACGAATTATACAAAACCGAGTATTTCTTCTATGTGAAAGTAGGATGGGTAATAAGCAATTTGGATTTAGAAACGGTCTAGGAACTAGAGTGGCCTTATTCTGTATGCGCGTTCTATTACAAAAAAATTGTGATTTCCGAAAGAATGTTTATGTTTGTTTCATCGACTTCGAGAAGGCGTTCGACAGAGTACAACACGATACACTTTTCGATTGCCTACGGGCAGCAGGACTTGACCACTATGATATAAGACTGCTGAAATACTTATATTACAATCAAGTAGCCTCTATCCAAATTGGAGACAGTCCGACTGAAAAAATATCCATCAAACGTGGAGTACGGCAAGGTTGGGTTTTGTTACCCACTCTTTTTAATCTGTACTCTGAAGAAATCTTTAGGGAGGCTTTGGATGACAGACAAGAGGGAGTAAGACTGGGTGGAGAAGTAATCAACAATATTAGATACGCTGACGATACAGCCATTCTTTCACATAATTTACAAGATCTCCAAACATTACTAAATCTAGTAGGTGAAGCAAGTTATCGAAGAGGCCTTAAAATCAACATTTCAAAGACAAAGTGGATGGCAGTTGGAAAGATCAATATAGATCAAGGTCTGATTTCTCTTTATGGAGAGGAGATCGAAAGGGTAAATCATTTCAAATACCTTGGCAGCTGGTTAAATGTACTCTAAATGTGGTGACTCTAATGAAGAGATAATAACCAGGATCGAAATATCACCTAAGGCTTTTATGACGTGGAAACCAATTTTATGCAACAGAAACCTGTCGATGAATATTCGTATAAGAATGTCCTGAAATGTTATGTGTGGTCCATCCTATTGTATGGTTTGTGAGACATGGACGTTAAAAACCACAATGCTAAACAAGTTAGAAGCATTCGAATTGTGGTGCTGGAGACGAATCCTAAAGATATCGTGGGTTTCGCACACTTCCAATGAAGATGTTCTTCAAATGATCAATTCAGAACGTCTGCTCATAAACACCATAAAGAGGAGAAAAACAGAATACTTCGGCCATATAATTAGAGGACCTAAATACCATCTACTTCGCCTTATAATACAAGGAAAAGTGAAAGGAAAGAGATGGATTGGTCGAAAGAAACCATCATGGCTGCGTAATATTAGACAATGGTGTGGTTCCACAGTAGAAGAATTATTGCGCGCAGCAGCCGACAGAGAAAGGTTTCAGGAAATTGTAAACATGATGACGGCCAACGTCTGAATACGATCACGGCATCCAAAGAAGAAGAAGATCTTAACACAAAAACAATTTAATTTATAAATAAATTTGAATAGTAACAATTAAGCCTCAATGTCATAAATACCAACTAAAATGTTTATTTTTGACAATTATATTGTCAAAAATAAAATTTTGTTTAAAAATTCTTTTTTGTTTATTAACAAAAAAGAAGAAGATTTATTCACCATTGATAGATGCCTAAAAAATGTAATAAACACATGTAAAATTAAATCAAAAGAAGTTAACAAATAGCCCCTTTTATTGACTCCAACCCATCCAAAACAGTTTTATATTTTTTCCAAACGAGTAACAAGCACTTCATTTTTCTTATTATGTATATATATATATATATATATATATATATATATATATATATATATATAGAGTGTGTATAACGACGCTAAGAATATAATTCTTTGGAGGGTAACTTTCGGGAAAGCGTCAAAACAAGGATCAGCTAGATATGGTATAAGCCAGTTTGGTGTAGAACTTTATTCGAAATGTGAAATTTTCGGTGATATG